CCCCAAAACCCCAAAACCCCAAAACCCCAAAACCCCAAAACCCCAAAACCCCTTTAGTTTTCTTATAAATTGAAATAAATAATTCTTCACTTCAATGATTTCATCAAAGACTAGAAAGTCAATAAGAAGAAACACAGGTCTTGTCTCAGTAGGATCCAATACAAATTTTTCTTCTAAAGGACCCAAGAATCCTATCAGAGATGTGATAATTTGCAATATCCAACAGAACAAACAAGTGAAGTAAGGGTTGAGTTATCATCCTAAGTAGGGAAACCACTGGCCAAAGCAGAGCCAAGTCAACTCCTTCAGGTAACAGAACAGGCACCCCTCAAAGATATTTCAGAAGTAATTCTCACTCTAATCCTAGACAGCGGATATATAAAAGCAGACCTCGGCATGAACTTTCGAGACAAAATGATAAAAAGCAGCCACAACTATAAAAGAGATTTTAAACTACGCAATAGTCTTCGGATTGGAGATCCTAAGAGTTTTAAGAGCCGCAAGAGAATTATAAAGCAAAGGAAGTCTAACACAGGCTCGAAGGTACCCCACTGTATAATCAAGTTAGAAGGAATTTATTAACAAAACTCGCCCGTTCTCGTCTCAAGGCAAGATCAGGAACATGTGCTTTGTTTCAATGCAGCAGCAGATTATGATCAGTAAGCATAAGAAAGGGTGACTCGGGATCAGAGACAGCAACAGTAATTTAGGATTAAATTGTAGAAAGTTGTAACCCCAACACACATAAAGCTACTTGCAACAAACAGGGCCGAGAGAGTGAATCTGTAGGCAAAGAAGAGTTTGAACTTGATGTCTATGGCAAAGACAACATGTTCACTGTTTCTCTTGAGGATAAAAGTAAATCTGCTAATCAAGAGGCAAAACCAACCAAGCATTCTGTTGATGTTGGAAAGATTTTGTACAATATGAATCATCTTCCAACAAAACCAATTTTATTGGCAACGAATCCGGTCACAAGAGAAGACCCTTCATGGGGAGCTGGAGCACAGAAGGCTCAGAGTTTAGTTCATCTGACTGAGAATAAGGGGCATTACAAGCATTTGTCAAGGTTTTTGGAAGGCAAGATAGACAAATAAAGAAGGAGTCACCTGCTCGCCAGTTATCCCAAATCAGTATGATGGAGCTGGTAAGTACTTTCTAATTTAGTATAATTTCTAGATCTAAACAGAGTAAAAGATGATGACGAGAGTTCAATTAAAGGTTCTTTCCGTTCATCAGCTTTCGACAATTTGCTTACTAAAGAAATATCTCTGGCAAGAACGGCTTTTAGGAGCCAATTTAGAATGCCTCTTGCTAGAAAGAGCATGGTGCTCCATAAAAATAAGATGAGACCCCACAGTAGAGGACAAGAGAAACTTCGAGGCAATGAAGGTTCTCGCCAGACGAGCCGCAAGAGAAGTCGGCCCACTACTGCTCTTGTCAACTTTGAAGGAAAGCAGGTTAAAGGCCCAAATCCTCTAATAGATGTGAGTAAATCCAAAGTGAAATAAATAAAGCTGGTTCGAGCCTACTGAACGAGGATCTGAATTATGAAGAATTCCATAAAAGGTCCAGCTCGACGGCTGAAGATCATAAGAAAGTAAAATTGTGTTTGAACTGTAGAAATTTATGTGAAACCAGCCTCATAAGATACGACTCAAACTCAAGAAAAACTCTCAGAATGCAGAAAGGCCAATCTTGCTGTATCGTAAAGGCAAGATCCCTAGCAAGCTAAAAGGCAAATAGGCCTCTAAAAGGAGGCTTAAGCAGATACAAAAAGAATTTGACTGTTGATCCAGGTTCCATCCAAGGGCCAGGGAGGATGAAGTTCGATCCCCAGAAGACATCGTTGATACCAAGGTTGAAGATCGATTCCTAAGAATAACTAAGTTGCCTCACTGTAAGATTAACTTGAAGGCAACATTCTGATGTAGGAGCCACACCATAAAGTTTGCCAGAATAATATTTGGTGAAGTGAGATTCCAGAAAAATTGATTCAATTTATTCATTTTTAGTGGGGTTTTGGGGTTTTGGGGTTTTGGGGTTTTGGGG